ACGGGGGATCTAGCCTAAAAATCTCTCCTAAATCTCTCCTATACCCCATATCAGGCTCAGAGCGGACTCAGGAAATAAGTCAAGGTCATACGTGAAGCCTTTTTGGAGGTGAGAGGAGGACATTGTGTGGAAACTGAGATTCCATCCTTTCCCTTGCCGACTTTTGATGGGTATCCTGTCTGGGAAAGTTTACATGAAAGCCAAGTCTATGGCTAAACTAGGAGCTCTTTGTGTCCCAGAACTATTGCTCTGCCCCTTTTCTTGGGCAGTAAATAACTCTGGACTTGGAAAAACAAGCCCTGGTGACACGTTCACGGAGGCTGTGGGAGGGGCAGAGTGTGGACGTCTGAGTGCAGAACTCAGAGCACAGAGCCTAGTTGGACCTTTCAGACTCTGATTTCTTCACTGCAAAGACTGGTGGTGACTGTGGCCATGTGAGAGTGACCAAGGTCCTAAGAGTGACCAAGGATCATATGTTTTAGAGTGAATTCTATGGCACTCCACTGAGCCCCCAATACAGGGAGATGCACCCCACAGCTGCTGGGAGTGTTGATCTTAATGACTCACAGCTGTGTGCCTCTGTGGCCAGGCCTTACTCAGAAAGGAACTGTTACCCAACTCAAGGGGCTCGCTGCCTGGGGTGTTCCATTCAAGAATGAGGCGTGGTTGTCATCGCTCTGGAGTTTTATTTACTTGCAGCAAATAAAGGAGACAGGATTCACATCCAAAGCTCTGTCTCCCTGAAGGAAGCCTTAGCCATCACTTATATACACTATTTGGTTAGTTACATGTTGATTTCTTCTTTGCAGTTGGCTAAACTTATCCTGTTGGGTTAGGTCAAGCTCATCCTCTGCAAAATACGACTATATTTTAACATTTAGCAAGAATAGCATTCAGTAAGAACTGCCCAAACCTTGAGACCCTTGTCCTATCCAGCAGAATTGCATTGCCTCCGGTTACTCCCACTTTCAGGAGATGGCTGAGGCGGGGATTACAAGCGCCCAGCCCTTCCCTCAACCTGAGACACATTGGCCTTGGAGCTTCTTAAAGTATTGGGTGAGGCCCCTGTTGAGCCTGCGTTGGTGGGTCAGCTCCTCTGCTCAACCCTGCAGTCCTCACTTCCTCTTGGGCAAATCTGAGCTGAGCACACTCTCAATAAGGCATCTGCAGGCAACTCTCCACAGGGCGCCTGAGCTAAGGGACTCCCTCGTCATGGGCTCTGTTCCCTCTGAGATCAGCTTTAAGATGAATGGTATTAACATCACCCTAGAAAAATGACTTGCTTTGTAGTTAAGAGGAAAAAGCTTTCTTTCAGGTGTAAATCTCTGGCATTTATTTCCCGTGACAGCGATGGCCTTCCTAAGGAGGCCTGGAACACCAGTGACAAAGCTACAGTGACTCTAGAAATTTAGACCTGAAGTAGTTTGAGAGACAGACTGCAAAGGGCTTCCACAGATCACAGACCTGAGGCACGCTGAGAGCTGCTGGCAGAAGACTGCGTGAGACCATGAGATGGGCAGAGGCACTGAGGGAGAGTTGGAAGGGGGGCAAAGAAGACGAGGCAGAGAACTTTCTTAAGAGATGAGAGATTTTTGTTTAATTTCCTGGATTAGTCGCTTTTAATGGTTTAAAAAAATCCACATTGTTAATTTACTGCCAGAGCCTTTGTAATTTGAGAGCTGAGGGCCTTCCAGGAGAGGGGGGGATGGCTGCAGACTTGCGCAAAGAGTTAAATCTCATCATGTGAACATGCTGCAGGGGGGCCCCACCTGTGTGTACAATGTACTTAAAGGATTAGAGCAGACTTTGAAATTATGATATGTTTTACCTCGAGTAAGTACCTTATTCCTTAAGCTTCCATTTCCTTGAAGGAGGGGGCAAGAAACCCACCGATTCTCTCAGATAATCAGTTGCATGAGACGCTCTGCTTTCAGGCTTCAATGGTTAGTTCAAGGGGAGGTGGGTGAAGGGTGTGTTATTTATACATTTTATGTTAAACCTATTTTCAATATGTGTGATTTCGATTCAAAGGTGTTGATTATAAGAGGTCTATCTGCCCTGAATGAAGGTGACATCTTCAGGGAGGTACAGGTGCCAGGGGGCCAGCGGAGAAGTTGTAGTGTGAGGGGCCAGTGCAAGCTGAAAGGGGAATTTTAAAAGGAATATTACTGTGGTCTATGTGTTCCTGTCAGGGTCTTCAAGAAATGTAAGTAAATACCCGATGTTCTCTATTTAAACAAAAGGTGCTCTTGGGCTGCAGCAGGTGATTTTTAAACTGAAGACAGAAATTTCTTTCCCCTGCACATGACTTACCAGGAACAGAGGCCAGCACCTTTATCAAAGAATGACCGTTGTCTGCTTTGGCTAAGCTACTGCTTTTGATTATTTGCTCCCCATAGATTTGTCAGGCAGGCTGAGGCTGGGGCTGGGGCTGGGGGAGCATGGTAACGAGAAATATGTATGTTCAGTAACATTTGGTCTTTGGGAAACAGACAACCACACATAGATACGTCTCATAAAGACACAGTCCTTTATTTTAAAAACACTCATGTTGCAAAAAAGTACATAGAAAAATAAAGTTTGGTTGGGATACTTTATTAAACTTCAAGTCACAGACCTTGACATGTTATAGATTAGAGCAGAGCTTGTTATGCATGTGGAGAACCCAAACTGATTTATTACACAGGAGGAAAAACAGGCCGTCTGGGTGAAGCGGTCTGGGGCACCCTCCAGTCTGCCCATCAGATACCGACATGCTGGCTCTTCAGATGTTGCTGTACCCATCCAGACACGGCGGGCCGACCAGTTCCAACCAGGGAAAGGCAAGGTGGAGTCACAGACCAAATAATTTTAAACAAAGACTGTTTTTTTTTTTTTTTTTGGCAACACAATATATATCACAGTAAAATGTTTAATACCTGCAGAATTGCAGGTTGAAAGAATTAAATTTCGAAGGTGGGAGAGAAAGGGGACTGAGCAGAGAGTGAGCACTGGACGCTTATCTAACGAGACACGGGAAAGGGGAAAGCTGTGGAGGCTCCGCTGCCTTCTTCGCTCGCCGGTCTTGCCAGCAGCACGTGGCATTTTACAGTATTTCAATGTGCAGCCCGAGTGATAGAAACGGGGGTGAAATGGGCCAACTTTCTATCAACTTAGGCAGTTTTGCCACCAACAGTAAATTGGCTCTTTTAATAGGAGGAAATTGAAAGGTTTCTCACTGAAGAGAATTAAGTGGTGGGATCAAGAGATTTCCAGGCCTCAGGGTACCTCATTAGTGACTGGCTTTCTTAATTCGGTCTCGAGTCTACCAGGTCACCTGAGATAACAGAATGAAAACAGAAGGGTGGCCACATTTCTCCTTTACCCAGTTCTTATTCTCTCTGAAGTCATGAGGAGACTCTTTTTTTTTATTTTATAGGCATTAGACACAGTTCCTGAAGCATTTGGAAAATTATTTTTTGTTTGTTTTGTGATAGAAGTCACAATAATGCTGTGCTTTGAAAACTTTTTTTCTTAGCTTCTTTCTGCAAAGTGCTCTCAGGCCCATCAACTTGATCAAAGGACTGGGCTCTCTAAGGCCCCACCGGTGAGCCCTCAATTTCCACTGGTCAGCTCAATGGTACTGACCCTGCATTTTGCAGTTTTCCCTTGTGTGTGAAAGCCGGTCCTCTTACCTCCTCTGCCTGCAGGGATCCCACAGGGTTGTCAGACTTTGAACTGTAATAACAGCCACCAGAAAGTCCTATAAAAGCAGCAGTGACCTTCTGGAGCTGTCAAATCTTTAAATAGGATTTGGGATTTAATGCTGTATATTTTTAAAAGAAAAAAATAAGAATTGTTAGATACCAAAAAATACATGTCTTTTGGCCAATTCAGAATCTGTTCCTACCCCCTTTTTCAACCCAGGAAAGATACAAGTTTTGAGGGGAAGAAAAAAAAAAGCAAAACTAGACCAGATCTCAGGCTAAATAAGGAAGGCGTGCATGTTAGATGCAGCCAGACTGAAAGTCTGGATTGAAAAGAAGCCATTCAGGAGGTGATTGCTGTGAAAAAGGAACAAAAAATATAAGGAAGGAAGGTGCATAAAGAATTATGTGATCTGTCTCGACGTGGTATGCAATATAGCCCGAAAACTCCAGGAACCTTCTCATTCTAAGTTCTCAGGCCCAGGGCAAAAGATCGAGAGGCTTTTTTTTTTTTTTTAACCTTTTGCTAATAAAATTACAATGCCCCTGCAGCAGTGTGGAGACTTCTCCTTGGACACGTGGAGATTCTTCTGGCCTGGGCCCACTGCTTACAGTAGTGCTCTGTTTATACAGCTTGTCTTAAACCCACAGCAAGTGCTTCTTGGTCTACGGGGGCCACCCTGCAAATACTTAAGTTGGCATTCTCTTTAAAAAGAATGAGAAGCTGCTTCTGTTTTCATCTCCTACCGATCTCCAGAGTCCAAACCCATACACGCTGAGCAAGACAGGCTTCTCGGCGAGACCTCTATTCCCCCCTCTCTCACAAAGAGAAACCTTGGTCGTATTCCAAGGCCAGGGAGGGTTTTGAACTTAAGTCTAATGCAGCAGGTGACATCCTCACCTTGGCTGCCCCTTCTCCCTCAGGTTTGCTCTTTCAGAGTCAATGCTCGCTTACATCAGAGAATGGAGCTGTAGAATGAAATCCTCAGGAGCAAAGTGGACAGAGCACACAGAATCACACAGTGCTGGAAACAGCACTTGCCTCTACCCCTCCCCACTTCAAACAGGTCTCTAAAAGCAAAAAATGCCCTACCTTACGTGTTGGGGGAACTACCTGGACATGAAATTATTCACTGGTCCAGATCTCTCACTGGCCCACCAATGAAGAATCTGGAATTCCCACGCAAACCCCCAACAGTTTTGGTCTGCGCGCCTCTTCCTGCCCAGTCCTCCCGGACCCTGGCTCCCTCTGCTTTGCGGAAAGACAGCCCGGGGAAGGCAGTTCCGATCACGCACGCTTGCCGTCCCGAGCTGGCGTTACCAGAAAGCTGGGCTCCAGCCCCCCAAGCAGTACAGGTAGGGGTAGTGAGGATAGCTGTTGTACACGGAGATGAGGGCGGCCCGGGAGAAGCCCTCGTCTTTCAGGGCTGGCAAGGAGGGGTGCTTCTCCAGGCCGCCCAGGTCCGAGGTGAGCTGCTTCCGCTTGGTCTTATAGCGTCTGTTCTGGAACCATATTTTCACTTGGGTCTCGGTGAGCTTCAGGTTCTTGGCCAGGTGAGCCCTTTCAGGGGCTGACAGGTACTTCTGGTGGCTGAACTTCCTCTCTAGCTCAATGACCTGAGAGTGGGAGAAGGCGGCCCGAGAGCGCTTCTGCGGCTGCTTGGGGGCCTGGGGAAGGCTCGGCGAGGAGCCCGAAGTGTTTTCACAGTCCAACAGATAAGTCTCCAAGTGCCGATCTGGAAACAAGAGGGGAGAAAAGGGCCCGGGAAGGGAAAAGTTACATGTTTGGAGCAAAGGGGACAGTAATTCAACCCACCCTTATCTCCTCCCGGAGTGAACAAACAGCCCACTGTCATCTTGGATACATTTCACTTTTTTCACATGACGAAGGAGTTCTCCTGAGTGGGGAGTGAGTGGATGTGTATACTATGTATTAGTTTTCTAATGACCATCAAGAACCCAAAGTAAGAGGGGTTAGCGGCACAACTTCCTGCCACGTTGTCCAGGAGATTAAACAGGGATTCTGGAAATGTATCCTGAGGGTGGGGGGGCAGGAGGCCAGGAAGGCACCGAGGCATAAGATGCCCTGTGAAGCACCCAAAAGCATTCAGGGTTCACATCCTGGCAGCAAGGGAGGGCTTGTGTGGCCGGAGAGGCTGCGAGCCCTGCAGGCAGCACCTTTTCTGGCTTAAATCTTCCCCCCACCACCCACTTTTTTTTTTTTTTTTTTTTTTAAGCATAGCCACATACTCTTAGGCTCCTGTATCCTTTGCCATTTGCTTCTGTCAGCCTGGAGTGCTTTTCCCTTCACTTGTTGAACACCTTCTCATCCTTCAAAACTCACTNCCCCCCCCCTTTTTTTTTTTTTTTTTTTTTTCCCCCTGAGTGAGGCGTTAGGATACCTCTTAAGGAGTGATGGGAAAGAAAATAAGTCTACTTTAAATGTTCCAACGGTGTTGTATGTCCTGAAGACCAGAGGGAACTCCCAGATTTACTGTTTCACTGCTCCTGTGATTGGGAAGCCAAAGGGGGCGGGGGGGGGG